TGTAGGCATCTTTATCATTCTTTGGAAGTAATCAAATATCTGATGTCAGTCTAATTCTGTGATTTGATTTCAAAAAATTATGAATTTAGTGGTCGTTTAGTATACGTAACTGCGAACTCGAATGGAAGATAAAAGGACTTGCAGTTCTTTCTCGGAGACTCATTTTTCGGAACTATAGCACAACAAAAGCCATCAACAATGTATATATATGTGATATAATAATATATCCGAAAAAAAGTACTTATTTATTTCCCACGGAAAAAAACTAATTCATGAAAAGTGATATTTTATAACCTGCCAACAGAGATGAAATGCCAAACTTTTTTCCCGTCACAGAAAATAGTAGATTGTTTTATTAGGATCAAAAGTGACACTTTGTTTGACAAGCGAATTTTGCATTTGCGAGGCGGAGCGTTTAGCGAAGCCGAGCGAAAGCAAAATTTGCGAGTCAAACAAAGTCACTTTTGATCCGAATGAAACATGCTATTTTTTCTGCAACCGAAACAATTAACTCAAATAAATATGTGAAGTAACCACCAATGTCGTGCCATATGTATGCAATGCAACAAATATTGACAAATAATCCATGTGGTGAGAATATTCTACCTGCATTAACAGCAGGTTAGGTTTTCTAAGATGTTCGAATTGTAGTTTCAATATAAGTACAACCACAGAGTGACATATTTGTGTATGGACCAGGTGCTCTAATGGCTAATATCGCGCCAGTGCCAGCTATAGGAACAAGACGTGGAAAATGTTTGGTTAGTGAGCATATCAACAATGATAATAGAGTTTATTTATTCCTCTCCATACTACACTGTGTTTGACTTGATAATCAAATGAAGCTAAACAATATCGTTGTTTGACACAAAAAACAATTGCTTGCCGTGATTATTCAAAAACAAGTTATCCATCCCGAGAATAACGAATGAAATACAGATCACGCAAGTATTTGAATCTTGAAGGCTTCCCTGATCAAAACAAAAATACTTAACTGAGATGTTTATAATTTCAATACTAAACTATAATAAGGTGTATTTATATCTCCAGCATGGGTATGAAATGCCAAATCTGCTGAAATCGGAAACAAATCAGGTATGCGTCTCAACTCAAATAACCAACCGCCACAATGTTGTTTATTCTTGATGACGTCCAGTAGATCCTTTTTAGTTCCTAGGAGCTAAAGTTCAACTTTAGCTCCTAGGAACTGAAATTCAACTTTAGCTCCTAGGAACTAAATATGTTGCCTAGCAACATATCATCTGAAGAAACCACGATAATATGAGAAAATCAATTTCGCAAACTACCAGTTACACGGAATCATCAATAAAGGTAATCATTATTGTTGTTCATCTGATGCATATTGTCGTTGATTTATCTTGACAAAAAAATACTCGAACTTTTTTTTTGACTGGATAAATTTCCTTACTAACTCAAACATTTTCCGTCAGTTTTTTCTCTCGAAAAACTGACATTTGGCAAAATTGCTCGACCTACGGTCTCGCCATTTTTTCATGTCAGTTTTTCTTGTAAAATTACTGATCGGCAAAAGTTTTTTGTTACCAAGAGAAATTTATCCTTTTTTTTCAATTGACGTAACGGCTGATGATTACTTGATGGAAATCCATGGCAAATGTAAAAACTTTACGAAAACGATAAGATTTCCACAAAATATTCGTGGAAATCTTATCGTTTGTGAAGTTTTTACATTAAAAATTCATCCGATAAACAACAACTGTCACACGAATTTTCTTAAGCACAATGTAGTTTCTTTTTCAAACCAAATTGTCTTTATACTGCAGTTGTGTATTAATCTTCCTAAAATACATTCGAGAGATGTTTTTATTGATAAATAAATTTCAAATTGTATTCAAATTTTATTGTCAATTTGCGAAAAATCTCGAATCAAAGTGAAGTAGAAAAAATCGCTCGAGCAAGCCCTTGCGATTTTTCACTTCCTTGATTCTCGATTATTTGCCATATCAATAAAACTTTCATACAATTGAACATGTATTATCGATATAAACATTATCTATTACGTATTTTTTGACACAGACATTGCAAGCCGGTCATTCCGATTCAGTGTGAAATGAATTGCAGTATATTGGTACCTACTAAATCATTATGAAGTCATTAAAAATGAAATGAAGAGTAAAATAAATATAACATTCTCAAGAGACCATTTCAAAAACATCACAAGAATGACTATATTACCTCATCTAGATAATATATTCACGTTTGCATAATATGGATATTATTTTGGAATAATGTTAGCGCGATTTCAGTCACATAATATAAGTATTATTGACACACTAATTTTCGACGTAACGATAGCTCATATACAGAGTGTATTCCAATTTCAACGCTCTGTATGTCGAAAACAATTACGATCAATGTTTATATTTGTCATTTTATTTTTCGAGGTAGGTACCTACTATCTGAATCCAAGGGATTTCCCACATTTGAGGGTATGAGAGCAGTGAGCACGATAGTGGACTAATCCAAATATCCGGGAATGATAGCATATAGGTTTGAAAAAGTGGTGAAGATCTATCTATAACCTATATCTCTATCAATTTTTACTCGTAGTTTTATCATCGTGGGTTAGTAGTTTTATCATCGTGGGTTAGTGTACAGTGTGTCCAGTTTTCGATGCTATTGCGTGATATCTCAGTTATCTTTGGAGATATAACCTTGTGGTTTTCGCGGTCCTGTGCCACTTTTTTGTGAAACTCAAGATGGCTTATTAAGGTTTCGCAAGACTGTTTCCGTTTATGAGATACAGGGCGATTATGAAAATTTATTCTTTTTGTGCCCCCTCTATATATCTACGAAGTTTCTCAGCGAAAATGTCAAATTAAAATCTCATCGCATAGAGAATTTTACGCAGAATCCATTGGCACACTAAATTTTTGTTTTCGGGGTATGGTTTTGGAGATACGACTCAAACTCATCATTTTTCCAATGGAACACCCTGTATTTGATAAGCTCATTAAATTCCTTATTTTCTTCCCCTCAAAATGATATAAATGAATAAATATAAAATTTCCAAAAATGCTAAAAAATCCCTAAACTATTTGTCATATAAAAACGTTCCAATTGAAGGAATATTCCTTTAATTTTTTTTTTTTCAATGAAGAGGTCAAAACCAACATCAACACTAATTAATTAACAAAACACGAAACTTGGGTACCTGATAATAACAAATAGATAGTGATAAAAAGTTCATAATGTAGAATAAGCACCAGATTGAATATTTACAAAAACAATTGAATTTCGGAATTATTCAATAACTTATTCATTGAATTGTTCAAATTGATGTCCATTTTCCATAACACACAATAGGCCTTTTCATCTAGACATATATTTAAGACGCATGCGTTCGTTTTTAGATCAAAAAATGTATTGGGTAATTCGAAGGTGAGGTCTCATTGGCTATCAGTAGATAGTTAATCAAAAGTTGAGATAGGGACATGTAAGCCGTTTTGACCAATAATGAATAGTTTCGACAACAAAAATTACTAAAGTTGAAAAATGTCGATTTTTCACACCCTTTATCTCTGTAATCATTTCCGCTAGACCCCAAGTGTGATACATGAAATCAGCTCTTCAGAGAGAATCTGAAAATGCAATAAAATACAGGGTGTTCCATTTAAAATAACAAAGTTGTTGCTACTTTTCGATAGAAGCGGCAACGCCGCAGAGCTGAAAATATTTAAGATCGATAGACCAAGAGCAACTACGTGAGTAACCAAAATTTCAGAATGATCCTATGTCCCGTTCTCCATAAACGTCTAACGTACCATCGACCGTGAGTTACCCTGTATTCTTGTGGAAAAAATCCGATTTCTTCATTTCTATAAGCACAAAAAAATGTTACTTTCTAGAATGTCCTATTACAAATAGAATGCAATAATGGCAACTCCCAAGAAAAAAAAGGATCTTTATTATATATACAGGGTGTCCCTAGACCAGTGGGACATCCTGTATATCCTCAGTAAATCCTCAGTTTCAGTCAGAATTCTACACCACCCTGTATTTGTTTCAATTAAATACGAGTAAATAGTAAATCAAAAGTTAAGATCTGGACATGTAATCCGTTTTGACCAATAATGAATAGTTTTGACACAAAAAATTCCCCAAAAATGAAAAATCTCGATTTTCCACACCCTATATCTCGGAAATCATTTCCGCTAGACCCCAAGTGTGCTAGGTCGTTGAATTCAGCTCATCAAGGAGAATATGAAAATGCAATGAAATACAGGGTGTTCCATTTGAAAAAATCGATGTTCGATTTTGTGAGCCTTTCTTGTGCCCCTCGTATAAAATATAGTCATTCCTGAAGTTAGCACTCCTAATTCGATATGATGTGAAATCATAATATTTTGAAAATTCCTCTTGGTTCAGGAGATATTCAACTGTCCCACTGGTCTAGGTACACCCTGTATATAGATGACAACAAATTTTGAATCTGTGTTTATAATCCTTGTACTAACTGTGCTTGTGTGCTTAGTCCACTTTGCTTCTCTACTTTCTAGATTCTAGATCTAGAATCAAGCTGAATCCAAAATGGCAAAACTCGTATAGTGCTGCCACCTAGTTAATTATTTGAGCGAAACGTGTTTGGATCCACTTTACTCCGCTAGTCCGCTATTTTGAATGTTGAAAAGGATCACCAATATATTTATTAACGTTAGAAGGCCGATATATATGTATTGAATTTTGAAATACTAGGCGCAGCCGAGGATTATAACAACCGGATCCGTTACTTGCATATCGGCCGTGTGTCGTTCAAGACTTTTCGTAATCCCGCTGGAAGATTACATATTGATTCCAAGGAAAGAACAAACCACGTAGTTACGACGTAGGTACCTCGTTATATCATTCTCGTAATTCTACAGAAAAATCTCAACATCGTGTTTATACGTGTTATCGGTTGAGATGGAACGGTTAACGGTCGCCGGAGGCTGTTAACTTTTCAATAACTGTCATCTGAATACCGTTAAATCACAATAACATCATGGGATTACGAAAAGATTATTTTTGTGGGTTGGTCCGTTGAGTGGTCCACTATTGCACTTGAAGCCACCATTAGTCTATTATCTCAACATTTCAAAAAGAGAACCAATATCCAAACCACTACACACAATAATCACAGCATCAAAATAAAAATAACATAAACAAAAACATATGATCATGACATGAAACATGAAACATAAGGTTTGTTCTCGTTCGAAAAATAGACAGTCCGAAGCTATCGGAAGCATGCGCAGTTCCACGGAACATGAAAAATGCCAACAGTTCTGTGAAACTACGTATGAAGACTGGTATCCTTGGGCAAACTTATCTCTGGTATCGTGTATCCCGTTACCACACACTACATCCATCAGCCAGGCTTCCAACCTTCCAACGCACTACTAATCCTATTATATACAGGGTGAGTCAGTATTTTGTTGCAGGATTTCAACAGATTGAAGAAGATACTATTTCAAGATGAGAATATTATGTAAACATATATGCGTAAGAGCCATGGAGTCCCTTTCCCGAACTACGTGTGGTGTGTGATATTTTCATAGATTTTTCTGTTTTTCGATTTTCGATTTTTCGTTACTGAGTTTCATCAACATATCTCATGAAAGCTTCCGATCATTCCAGGTCCTATTGTAATCATTCAATCAAAAAATGAAGCTTCATCACAATAAGAAAATTATTTTTTGCATTTATCTCGAAATCCATACACAGTTCTTGAAAAACATATGAAAGGGCAGGTAAATATAAGAAAGAATGTGAATTGTGTCAATGAAATCAGAGGCAGTAGGCAAAAAAGTTCAGGAGGGTTAAATTGGGTAAAACCCCCAAAAGTTCATCACCATGTAGATTATCAAAAACGATAGCCCCAAATATGGAATTATTAAAGTCAAGTAGGTGTACCAAGTTTCAATAATTCATTATTTCGAAAATTGTAGGAGAAAACTTTAACAATATCAAAATACATTCAAACTTTTGACATGTATATTGAAAATGAAGATTCCACGCATTTATGTTCACATGGAATTTTCATCATGAAAATATGAGTTCCTCAAGCTGTTAACTCCTGTACCTGCTGCAAAAAAAATCTGACTCACCCTGTATACTGCTTTGCGCACGACACGTGGTATCTACGAGATTTGATTTGTTCTTCTAACGTTAAACGCTAATTATCAAGTGAGCTTGTGGTACAGTGTCACAATGTCACGCCTCCGCCACCCCTCTCACCGGGGATAAAAGGTCAACTTTTTTTATTTTGTTCTCAAGTATATTTTGTGAATTGTTACTCTGTAATATGTATCTGTTCATATCTACATTCAATAAATCAATCACTTACCTACTCATACTAAGTAATTTTCCGGAGAATATACTTTCTACGAATAAGAAGGTTATTTTAGGCCAAGTCAGGTTAGATTGTTCAGAAGAAGTAGTGCCCTTTGATTTTCCCTAGTAATGAGGGCGGCTGAAATTGTCAGTCTCAGCAGGCTATCTGGAATAATTGTTTGCCAAATGTTGACAGTGAAGTTGTCATAGTTTCTCAAAAACACAAAGCATTGACTGAACCAGTTCCACACAACTAGAACTAGGATGACGTAAATTTCTCTTTTTAATACTTGTACGCTTTTTTATTGAATATCATTGTAACCACACACTTTGTGTTTTAGTTCGGTGGCTGTAACTAGACCATGTCAATGTCACAAGTCTAAAAACTTTGCTGGGTAGCTCTGAAAGTTATGGCTTATATTTGAGAATACGCGCTCTGTCATTTAAAATAATTTCAGCAATGCAGAGCTGCCGTTTTTATCAAAAAGTAGCAACAACTTTGTTATATCAAATTGAATACCCTGTATTTCATTGCATTTTTAGATTCTCCCTGGAGAGCTGATTTCATCAATACATCAAACTTTGGGTCTATCCGGAATTATTACAAAGATATAGAGTATTGGCACAAACGAATCCTGAAGTTGAAAAATCTCGATTTTGAACACCCTTATCATCACGTACGGTCGTATTTTGTGATCGACATTGAAAAATACGCGGAAGGAATTATTTATCGTTCCAAACGGAGTGTTCCCTAAAAAATGAGTGATAGTAATGTGTTTCTGTATTCCCCATTCGAAATCGAAAATTCCAAACAATTAAATTGCAGAAATCATTTTTCACTTTTTTTCACGCTGGTGAGTTTTTCTTCGATTATGCTGGAGTAGTAAACTCTAAAACTAGAGGATTGTTCAACTATATCTTGGTATAGTTGAATCAGGAATTCCATATGGAAATTACGTATGATACGCCAATGACCTCAATATAACCAAAAAACAACAAATTTCAAAAATCTGATAGGAATTTTGAGCCGATACCACTCGATACATATAGAGATCTCAGAGTAGCTACTCCTTTGATTTATTTCCACTACGTGTGACCAATACTTTTAAAACAAAAATTGTTTACATGTATGTCACTGTGGTATATTATTTCTTGGTAATGGAAAGGGTTCGATCTCTTCACTACATATTGTATATTGAGTTCTTCCATAATCACGAGAGATTTTTGGAAAAAATATATTTTCAGCCTATGTAAAATTCTTCCATATCGTTATTGATTTTCGAAAAAAAAAAAAAATAGCACCTGTATACAACATATCTCTTCCCCCCTGTTCAATCTTATTATCATCATTAGTCATAGATAAATCATTTTTGTTCGGAAATTAATCGGTTAGCAGCATGACTCAATTTATTAGTCATTCATTCGGGACCAGGTGGTAAATCAAGACAGTCTTATATTATATGTCATCACGTAAGGTCGAATTCAGTGATCGACATCGAGAAATACGTGAAAGGAATTATTCATCGTTCCAAACTGATTGTTCCCTAAAAACTGAGTGATCGTATTGATTCGTGTATAGTGTTTTTGTATTTCTCATTTGATTCAATAATAATAATATCGGGATCGTGTATTGTTCTAGTGTTTCGTGTTGTATCAGGAAAGCCTCACATTTTTCACGCTGGTAAGTGGAATTCTCTGAATTTTTCCTCATATTTCGCTGTATTCATTTAACTTCATTACCCTATAAAGGGTGTATGGCACGACAAGCTTACACTATCTTTAAATCGAGAATCAGTCGAGATAAATTCATGAAAATGTGCATGCTTATATTTCGGCATACGCTCTTTTCATTTGAAATATGTTCGACAATGCAGTGTTGCCGCTTCTACTGGAAAGTAGTAGCAACATCGATATTTCGAACGGAACACCCTGTATTTTATCGCATTTTAAGATTCTCCCTGAAGAGCTGATTTCATCGATATATCATACTTGGGGTCTATCGAAAATGATTACATAGATATAGTGTGTTCAAAATCGATATTTTTCAACTTTAGGATTTTTTTGTATCGAAAATATCCATTATCTGTCAAAACGGCTCACATGTCCCTATTATCTCAACTTTTGTTTCACTATTTACTGATATTTGATCGGAACAGATACAGGGTGGTTCAAGATTCAGAATTCTGATCACATGAATATTTTCATGGATTTCTTCCGACTGATTCTCGATATAGAGATAGTGTGAGCTCGTCGTGACATACCTTGTATGTTTCGTACCGTTTGTTATATTTTCTCCGATCAAGGAATACTTTCTTCTGATTTTCGTGCTTCCTGATCGAAACTGTATCTTTTGAGAATTTACCATCTTGAATAACTGTGATACAGAACGTAATATTCATTTTGGCAAAATCTTCATCTATGGTCAGGTCATAACTTCTGAACCACTGTGTATAATTGATTCATACTTGGTAAGTAATTTCAACTCTTATTTTTCATCGAAACTAAATATGAATCGAGTTTAGAATTCAGATCCGCCTTCAGGCAAAACAAAAAACTTTTTTTTTAACAGTGCGCATCCAATTTGAAAAATAGAATTTTTATTGAACTCGCTATTCAAAAAACACAATTTTATTACAAAGAAATAACCAGTCTCAAATGTCAACTTAAGTAGAGCCGAATTAGGTAAACTATCGATGGATTTCGTTCCATAGAACAATTTGTCAATTATTTTAGATATTTTCAGGTGCTCATTGCATTTTCGCACATAAATGTCAATTTGGATGCGCGCTTATGAAAAGTAGACCACATTGTTCATTATTCTCCTCTTCTTTCTAGTTAACAAAACATATCTAGATATTTTGGAAAAGATTACATTTTCAGCCGCTGGGTTGAATTTTTTTAAATCATCAGACTTTCGAAAATAATACTGTCAGTATATCTGTGTTCAATACTTAATCTTATATTTTGTATACTATATATATCTTTTTCCTCCGAATAATCAACATTAGTCATAGACTCCCCCCCCCTCCCGCCCCCCGCCCCCCATAGTATAATCTGATAGGTATTTTTTGAGCCGATACCACTCGATACATCTATAAATCTTAGAGTAGGTACTCTTCTGATTCATTTTCATATTATACATTTACGTAATTTTTGTGGGAAATGTATGCGATTAGAACAAATCCGAGAAAAATTTGTCAATCCGTATAGCTGACTGTGCTATAGGCTAGGTACCGCAACTGCTAATTTTCACAGAGAAAATTTCGAAGTCGTCAAAATTTCTTTGAAATGGTCACAAACGAATTATCAAACCCTATTATCCAAATACTCAGATTGGAAATTTGTCTCGAAATACCCTGTACTAATTTTATAATTTCCTATGGTATATTATATTGTTACGATTTTACTCTGGGTCCGTAATAACTTAACACTCGGTATAACACTTAAAACGATTTATTCTGAACACTACTATACAATAATTACAATACTCGTACTAAACACTTCCGATTCACAACACTTCTTCGATCGTTATTATAACGCTTCCAAATAAAGACTTCCCTTCCTGTCCCTAACAACAACTATTTATACTACCTAATAAAACGTCTAGATTCCACTCGAAATATCGTGAACAGGTCGATAATCTTCTCGAGTCATCTCAATAGCCGTCGAATTACCTAATTACTATTCCAAGAAATATGGCTTGTTTACATTCCCGCAGGTAGCTGGGATCGATTGCCAGGGTCGTAACATTTACCCCCTTCTTCAAATTTGATCGTCCCGATCAAAAACAGAACTTTCCTCACCATGATAAGGCTTCAGTCTTTCAAGATGAACGACTTTCATCTT